CTCCAGCTCATTCAGGAAGTAATGTCGGTGGAAGTCGTGGAGCTTTTCTAAGTTACCAAAGATGCTCCCCCTCTGGCCCCTGAGATCCTGAGGGACATCTTCCCTCTCCAGCTCAGGGAAGTAGTGCTCTCGAACATAACCCAGAGCCTTCACATACTCCCTCTCTGTGGACAGTAGCTCCTCCATGATCCTCCGTACTTTCCTGTTCCACATGCAGGAAATGAAACCCAGGTGAGCTCAGTTTTACATTGTGTGTGCGTGGGTAGCATGTCTTCATACGACAGTATTGCTTACTGGGGAACATTTGGGTAAAACATTTAATATAGTTTGCCATATGTTGGACAGCATCTTGCTCTAGATTACAGGTGAGGGAGAGGGTTACTTACAAAACAGTGCAGCCATTGATTTCTGTTGGTGTGAGTAATGTCTCTGGAGTCCTGACATCTTCAGGGTCCCGTCTGGAGTCTATACATCCTTCACCCTTCCCTTCATTGCTGTCTCTTGGTGATTTGCTAATCGGGTTTCCTGGCCGTAGTCTCTTGTTATGGGGAAAAGGGAGATTTTGGATGGGCTGCTGATTTTGTTCCAGTGACTGTGTCTTACTATGACAGTGCTTGTGACTCACATTTAAAGGCGAAAAGCCAGGAACGCTCGTCAGATAAGAGCAGACATGTGAGCCTTCGCTTAGAGATCGACTTAAAGGTTGGTGTGAAGGAAAATCCTCGCTCCCTTTCATTGAGTTTACATCTCTTAGATCTGTCTCACTGTGATGCTCTCTTGGCCTCAACTTGCTCTCTTGGTGGGAGTCAGTGTTTAGAGAGAAATCAGAAGTATTTTCTCCATTTTTATCAGGCATTTCTGGTAAATGCAGCTCTTTAGACTCTTTGTTTTTGCTCTCTTTGAAGTCGTTGCAGTTGAGGCACACAGCACTGGTGCTAAGCTGTGGGGTTAAGGAATGCTCTGCCTCTGCTATCACACTCCCTTTCTCCTCTTTCTCCATTTCTCCATGTTCCCCTGGAGACTTTGCAGCTGTGGTCTTCTGGATCTGGTTCTTATCTATGTATTTTTTCTTCTTCTGCATCTCCTTAAGATGCTGCCTGACTTCTCGGCACTGGGCCCAAGCTGCATTCCACACTCTCATTGCTGCCGAAGCCCCTGATCCCAAGGCGCAGGCTTTAGCTTTCACAGCCTGGAAGTGAGGGGTGGAGAATTCACCACCTAATCTCTGCTCATACATTTGGAGTGTACTTAAAGTCTGAGCTGGGTAACACCCCTGCTCTACCTGCTCCAAAGAATGACTGCATTCTTTGGCCAGGGCAGATGCCTAGACAGAGAGAGTGAGTGAAAGGAAATGGAAAGTAATCAGTAAAAATGTTTACAAGGGGGAAAAGGACGTTAATAAAAATTGTCAGGAGCAATGACAAAACACAAACCTTTTCACAAAAGGCGTAAACGTGCACAAGCGCGTCCAGTTCTTTGGATCTCTGTTGTGCACGCAGCATGAAGTCTTCTACATTAGATCTGAAAGTGTTGACGAGAGTTTGAAAAACATCTCTTGCAGGGCTGCTGTCGCTGGACTCAAAAATGCCCTCTGCCTCTGCAGCTAGGATCAAGGCATTCTGCTGTTTTTCCTGTGATAAACGATGAAAATGTTAAGTGAAATCAATTTCCTTCCGCTTCTGCAGTTTACTGATATCACTGATATCAACTTTGATCAGCCAAAAGAGGGCAAGTTTTCTTATCTCTAATTTCTTTGCCGTTAGGTGATACCTTAGACTGAGTAAGGAACATGTGGAAGTGCTCCAAATCCTTTTCAGTGCAAGCCTGGGTATCATCAATTGGGTAAGAGTCCTTCAGTCTCT